TGTTGAAGAATGTAGCTTCATCTCCCGTCTAACAGTCATGAGATTAAGAGTGTGATCGGAGAGTTTTTGTGTTCTTCTGCGGCGGGTCTTGCAGAACTTAGCTCCGACCGCATGGACAATTTCCACGAGCTTGTCATTCATATCGTCCACTTCATTGCAGTCTTCTAGGCACTGAAAATGGTTTTGTAACTCGAGCTGAAAGGTTTCGGGACTTTGGAACAGAGCACGAGGGGGACGGAGCGATGACTTCATTAGACGAGACCAACTTAACGTTTAGGTTCTGTGTGCCTCTTTTTTTCCATTTGGTGATCGCTACCAGTTTTCACCCTCGCGATCACGGAGACATCACTGAACAGTTGTGGTCTGGTCGTCATAATGAAATCAATCTCATTTTTTGTCGAACTGTCGGGGCTCGACCAGATCCACTTCCTGTGGGGCCGCTTCTGGAAGAAAGAGTTCATCATAAAGAGTCCCTCTTTCTCCATGAAGTCGGCCAGCTGTTGGCCCCTTGGGTTATGTTGCCCTATTCCAAATTTCCCTACTTTCAGCTCACCGTTCTCTCTTGTGCCTAGTTTTACATTGAAGTCTCCCATTAACACCGTATATTGGGTTTTGGAGAAATGCATGGCTCTAGAGATATCCTCATTAATTTCCTCCACCTCCTCATCGGGGTGTGCCGAGGTTGGTGCGTAAACCTCTATGACCTTCAGCGAATACCGTTTGGTGATTCTGAGTATAAGGTACGCAACTCTCGTCGACACACTCCCGATCTTTACAACGTTGTTAACGAGAGACTTGTGGACGATAAATCCGACACCTCCTTGGGACAGATGGTCGCCTTCCCTGTGATAGAGCAAGTTGCCGGATTCGAGGATTGCCGTGTCCTCCGCCTCTCTTCGGACTTCGGATGATCCTATAATATGCCAGCGCAACTTGTCTATCTCTTCTTCCAGCTCCACGATCTTCTCATCAGTCCTCAGGGTGCGTGCGTTGTACGTTGCCAGGTCGAGTCGTCTAAGGTGGCAACCGAACCTCCACCGGAGATTCTTAGCACCCCCTGCCCCGCCGTTACAATGGTCGCCACCGTAGCCAGGAATAGCGGGGCCGCCGGGGACTGGGGGCCGTCTGTTTGTTGCTTTAATCATTGGGGGGTATTTGCCATAGTTGCCACGCTTGGTGAGCGGGTTGGCAACCGCAGTTTTTTTATTGTAATTTTGGCTATTATTAGGAAGATGCTGCTGCCCATCTTTTTTTTTTTTATAGGAGAGGGGGCAAACGAGCATGCGGCTCACCTGATGGTAAGTGACTACCGCCGCCCATGAACAACTGCAACACCAGGGGAATCGCAGATGCGTTGCCGGCCTTTTAAAAAGGAGTACGCTCTTTTCTTGAAGGTCCCTAAGTCGTATCGGTCCGGAAAAATCGCTGATGGTAATCGATTCCACAAGGAGGTCGTGCGAGGAAGAAAACATCTTCTAAATCGCACAGTGGTGGACCGCCAATCATCCAGATGGTGTGGATGGTATCGGGAGTTCTGCCGCGATGTGCGTTCGTGAAATTTGGCGGCTGGGATTAATCCGAACAATTCCTCAGAGCACTCCCCATGGTAGATGCGAAAGAAAATGCAAAGGGATGCAACATCTCTTCGCAGTGCCAATGAATCGATCCGATCGGAAAGGGCTCGGTCGTCGACAATTCGAGCCGCTCTGCGTTGGATGCGGTCAAGTGGAAGGAGCTGGCACTGGGGAGCCCCTGCCCAGAGATGGGAACAGTATTCCATGTGAGGCCGAACTTGCGCCTTGTAAAGTAGCAGGCGGTGTGCCGGCATGAAATACTGCCCCGCTCTGCTGAGAACGCCAAGCTTTTTAGAGGCCAATTTGGCCTTCCCTTCCAAGTGACCACGAAACTGCACGTCACTCGATATGTCGACTCCGAGGATACCGATACTGGCTGAGGCAAGAAGGGGAGTGCCTTGAAACTGAGGAGATACGACAAAGGGGTTCTTTTTAGCGGTAAACGCGCAAACTTGTGTCTTCTGAGGATTAAATTGGACTAAATTTAGTCGCCCCCAATCCGAGACTTTGTTCAGCAAAGACTCGACTTCAGACACAAGTTTGTTCCGGTACTCAGCGACGTTTTCCCGAGAAATATTGGCACGGCCGGTGTATAGAGCATCACCAGTGCTGTCATCTGCATATCAATGAATGTTACCAGTTAGCAACATATCATTGATATGCAGAAGAAACAGCGTTGGTGATAGCACACAGCCTTGTGGAACACCAGCGTTAATAGGCTTGTAGTCAGAGCATGCACCGTCTACAACGACCTTGATGCTCCGATCTACAAGGAAGCTGGTGATCCAATTGCACAATTTCTCGGGAAGCCCATAGGAAGGGAGCTTCGAAAGAAGCGCTTTGTGCCAAACCCGATCGAAGGCCTTCGCAATGTCCAGACTAACGGCCAACGCCTCCCCCTTGGACTCTACTGCCTCCGCCCATCTATGGGTCAGGTAGACCAGAAGATCACCAGCTGATCGACCCCGACGAAAACCGTATTGGCGGTCACTAATCAGCTGGTGATCCTCAAGGTAAGGTAAGGATGAGCTGGCAGTTAATAATGGATTCCATTATTTTGGAGAACAAGGAGGTGATCGCGATAGGCCTATAGTTGGACGGGTCTGAGTGGTCGCCTTTTATAGGGATCGGGTGAACAAAAGCTGTCTTCCATGAGTTCGGGACTACGCCTTAACGCCGACACCCACGGGAGGATATGGGGTAGTGGATATTCTTGACCGCCATTACACGGCTAAATATAACAACAAAAACACTTACTAAAAATGTTCTCTTTTAATTAGTAAATTTAAAGAAAAATGTACATTGTGTCTTGAATACTTTTGTATTGGTTTTATTTGTTTCTTTTTAATTTTATATAGGTAATTGCTATTTTTATATTACATACATAATAAAGATATAATAGTGTATATGTATCATGGTTTAGATATTTGTATGCATATTACATAACATTGCATATTAATTAATAATGTTACGTTTATTTTTGATTTTCCACTTAGTTAAATTTTCATTGGCGGGTGCCTTCAGTGGGTACTTGCTGAAGATCAAAGTCGAAGTGCTCTGTCGGTACTAAGACTATGCAGAGTTGGGTACTTTTTAGTAACCATTTACCATATCCAAAATATGCTATTATTGTGAGCAAATTGCTTTAATTTGTTACTATATAAACTTATTTTCTTTCTATTTCTTTCCTTATTTCTTCTTTACGGAAAATACGTGGTAGAGCCATGCTGCAGCTATATATACTTGTAGCACGAATGGGTCGGCTTGACCGGGGAAGGACCACGCTCTCACAGAATACCAGCGTAAAATAGCAGCTTCATGCTGCTGTGTTTCCTATGGTGAGTGTGGAGAACCAGAGACCCTTTTTACTGGAAAAGAGGCATTTCACATCTCAGTGACGACGACGCATCTGCATTTTGATTCTTTATTAAGGATAAATGTAGATGTCTATGGGTCACAGTAACCACTTACCATCAGGTGGACTGTGTGCTCGTTTGTCACCCTATCTTATAAAAAAAAACTATATTTGAATTTTGATGAAGCCAAAGCCAGAGAAAGCCAGAGAAGATCTATTGGTCTTCAATAGAATGTGATATTATCATCTCGTAAATATACCAGATATAGAATACCAAAACTCGTACCACAAAGTACTGTTTTTCTAATAGCTCAGCATTTTAAAAATCTGCTATCCCGAAAGACAGGAGTTCGTTTATAACTAAATCGTAGAGGTAGATGGATGTAAATTTTAGGTGCTATACGAGTATGTGCAGTACTTTAGATATCACACATACATAATTACAAAAATTACAATGCATACGGACTGCACCAGCCACAAAACGCATACCAGCGTAGCGAATTAGCTTGAAGCAGCGCCGGTTTCCATTTTTCTCAATAATCGTTTTATAACGTTTAAGGTCTGATAAAGAAGTACCATGTATGGTTTTTTATTAAATTCGATCCTGTAACGATCACACACGTGGGCCTTTATAAACATATCGGGGCCACAGTTTAACACCAGTTTAGCAGCAAATTACTGTATAGTATCATCTTAGATGTTAGTTCTCACAAAGTTTCATTTATAAAAACGACTTTCGCAACGCAGACGTACATACAGCAAACGCACAACTCCCATATTCGGAGTGGCCAGTCTTAAAAGCGTCTGCTAGCGATGGTTACAAGTTATAGTTTTTATTATTGTAACAAAACAGTATAATAGTTGACATATTATACATGATTTTAAGGTTATAATATAGCTACGTTACAGTTGTCTGCAGTTATATTATAAGTTTAGTTAAATATAATATAATATTTATTTGTTCGTATTTTAGAAGCTGCCGCCATACCGTTCATCAGATTGCGGCAAAACTCTGTCAACTTAATTCTTGCACTTGTGCGAAGATTATATAGGCATAGTACAATTAACTTACATTAGGTGGCACGTTATTTGTAATTTATATATCGTTCAATTTCAATGAATCTATTATCATTCCTAATTAAGCAACAAAATTCCTCTAAAATTTAAACGATAATTCCATAATTATTTATTTTGCAATAACAACGCGCCGCTAGTTATAAAATAATGCATGTCATTGAAATATTTAACTGATTTTTACTAATTTAATAATTTTAGTTACACTACATACTTAAGACTCGTCTTTATTTTTTAATTTTATTATTACAGTACTCAGCTTGTGTGTCAATACAAGATTTCATATTTTACTTTTTCACATTATTACGTACATCATTTTGAGGGTGTGAAATCCATATATATTTAAAGTTTTTATTGCACAAACCTTCTGAGGGTACAAGATTTCCTGATAATATTCATAAATGACTTGATATCTTAGAAATTTTCTCATAGAATGTTAGTTTTTATCTTACCTAATTAATTTAAATGCAATAATATCTCAAATAACAAAATACATATTAAACTATATTACAATGCTTTGAAAGTATTTCTTCAAAAATAGCGATTTTTGTAGGTTCGTAATTTGATTTTGTTTTCAACTCCTTATCGATATTAAGATAATTAACTGACTTATTAGAGAATATGGGCCACGCAATAGGGACTACGTCACTAGCTGTCGGTGTTGGGTTACTGAAACAAACAAAAAATACTTAATAAAACACCGAACTGAAAATAAAAAAATTATAATAATATTCAAAGATCTCCAAGTTAATTACCTGGTTCTTGCAAAATTAGTCCACATGTTAGTCATTTTATTTATCATTAGTTCATCGCTTTCGTTAATATTTTCAGGGATCTGGCTTGGAATTAGGTAGGATGATTCATCACCATGACCGGCTCCATTCACATTTAGTTTAAAAATCTGAGATAAATTTAAATTACCTGCATAAGAAAATTCATAAACATATAAGGGGACTCCTGCCTTTGCCATAATTTTTGCTGACGCCCAAATTCCTGATACAAAGTCTAAATCTCCTAAAAATTCTTGTATTGATTCATTGATTTCTTCTTCAGTCTTTTTATTGCTTAAATAAACTTTTTCAATTTTTGAAATATATATTTCACTTTCTTTAGGTGACAGTTTAAAAGGTAAGAATTCAATAAAGTTTCTTTCTTTTACTAAATCTGTAATAACACTATTTCTTAACATCATTCTTAGAGACGCTTCCTTGTTACAGAAACCTTTTATAACTGGAACTTTATTAAAAAGTCCGTCATTTAGCAACTTATAGGGGCTTTTTGTTAAAAATGCTCCGCCGTTTTGGTAATCGTTTTCTATGATAGGAGCAAATCCAAAATCAAGTTTCTTAAAATCGTTATCCGAAAATGCTTTCATCTCCGCTAAAATCAACTCTTCAGATGGTACATTCATTAAATACTTGTGAATTGTATTTTTATCATCCATGGGACCCTTATAATCTAGACTTTTCAATAAGCGTTCAAGTGACTTTTTCGGTTCCTCGTTTATAGACCATGAATTCAAGACAGATCCCGATTGTAAAATTGCTTTATGAAACAATCCGTTAGCCACAGGAGAGATAATAAGATATTCAACAGAAGCCGCTCCTGCGCTGCTACCAAAAAGTGTAACATTATTGCTATCGCCATTAAAATTTTCTATATTTTGTTTTACCCATTCTAAAGCTTTAACCTGATCTTTTAGACCCATATTTCCAGCAGCTTCAGGAATATCAATAGACAGAAATCCAAACGCACGTAAGCGATAATTAATAGTAACAAGTACTACGTTTTTCTCAATAAGGAAATCAGGGTTGCTATCACTTTTAACGATTCCGCTTCCTCCTACAAACCCACCACCATGAATAAATACCATTACAGGTAATTTTTCTTTTTTGTAAGGCGGTAATTTCGGCGTGTAAACATTAAGGTATAAACAATCTTCACTACCGACAAACTTTTGGGTCATAAAATTGATCTGGCATGAAATGTTAGTTTGCTTAATAGTAGTAGCATCTCTAACTCCTTCCCACGGTTCTGGTGATTGTGGACACTGCAAAAAAATGTTTGTTTAACGAATATTGATATAATTTTTTTATGTGTGAAATTGCTTTTCGTTTATACTTCTTTTTTATTAAAATATTAACAATAATCTGCAACAATTACTCGAATAACGCACATTAATCAAAGTAATGTTAATATAAACTTCTTGATAAGATTATTGACGTCCATGACCTTGACGATTTGCAGCTACTCGTACTATCTGCATTTTAAGCCGATTTCGAAAAAAGAGGAGGATATATCGAACGATATGTTCGCCGATTGTATATCAATTTTAATTATTCTTATTTTATTAAATGGATGTTCTCCATGGAAACATAAGAATAGGGAGAAATAATTCCACCCCTAAGTGAGTAAAAATAGGGGATCAAGTTCTTATATTAACAATTTATACGACATTCTAGTTGTTACCTTGAGATTCTAAATTCCCACAATCCACTCAAAAGGTCAAATAATTAAATTTCTAAAAAAATAAAAACGGATTCTTTTAATTTTCACGTTTCGACTTTAAAAACTATCATACAGAAATTATTTTATTATTTTTAGTTTTTCGAAGTCAGCTTTTACGTTAAATTAAAAGTTTAATTTTATTCAATAACACATACATTATTACTGGACTAGAAAGGATACTTAATCAACATCAAAGATGCGTACATCACTCACATTCGATTTGCCGATGACATAGTAATTATGGCAGATGCTGGATGATCTTAGCACTATGCTCAATAGTCTCAATAATGTCAAGTGTGAGATATTTTAAAATATCTCATACTTTTCAGAATGATTAATACAATAAAAATGTTATTTTCCGGTGTCCAGAATATGAGCATTATTTTAATGTATTAATCCTAAGTTGAAATGAAAACACCATCATTGTTAGAAATCTGTTTGTAATAATTTAATACAGGCCAGCTTTGTATCTTACCAGCAAGTGGACTTTAGCTAATTTGTCACACAATCATAAAAAGAAATCCGGAACTATCGTATTTACTATAATACCAACTTTTGTTTCCATAGCATTTTTCAATAATAATATTTTAATATTAACTTGTGGCATTAATAAATAAAATTAATAAAACATCTAGCAAATGCGGTAAAACTTACTTCAACACAGTCAACTGGTTTCTTTCGAAAAAGTGTATATCAATTATAGTTTACCTTGAATCGCAAATCGCCTACTGGAGGTTTGGCGTAAGGTACTCCTAAGAATTCATAATATTCAAATCCACTTTTCGTTTTAGATTTGCCTCCCTTTAATTCTCCTTGGGAAATTATAACATTTGCCATTTTACACAAATAACTTAGAGACGAAGTGAGCAGTGACTATTTTTTTAATGCCGGACGTTTATATATTCCTATTATTATCATTATCCTTATCGTACGTTTTTTGCTCATTTGATAAACTGTAACGTAATCATGACTAAACATAAACCGCATATAACACAGAGTAATGGTGACTGGTTCGTGGACGGAAATACAGAATACAGCCAAATTAAATACAATCTCGTTCAAAGACAAGAACCAACATTAAAAATATATTATGTATTATTACGTGTACGTATAATATTTATCTTTTAAACTCAGTAGTATCTGCGCAATCTACATTACCTACTAGAGTGTGAGACAGTGTAATATATGTTTTAATATTGTGTAGTTGTAAGTCACAGAGTACATTATATATAGTTGTAAGTAATTACACTCTGTAAACGAATGTTCTTAAGGTTTGAGAGCCTTTAAGTTCAGTTTTTATATAAATATTTAGAATTGATAACAGGAATTATGACGGCAGCACAATATTAATTCATACATCACTCATTATATTCTTGCACTGGTAATGTAGATGGGGTTGACATTTAAAATACTTATAATAATGAAAAAGTGTTTGAACACCTTTTCGTTATTATAACGCCTTATATTTACTCGTACGTACTTAAAACTAAGGTGTTATAATTCATTAATTAAGTCATTACACTGTATTGCAACAGATTAGTAATGCTTTTTAGGCTTTGGATTTGAAACATATTTCATTCAGCCGAACGTGATCTTATATTGTTGACTGACCATCACTGATATCTCTAAAGTAATTAAGATAGTAAATGTTCTTTATTTATTATAATCGTTTTTCTTCCAAGCTTTACCGAGTAGTGGCGGTGTAAGAATATCCACTACCCCATAATATTATCCCTTGGGTGTTGTAAGAGGCGATAGAGGGAAACAAGTCAGGAGATGGGTATTAGCGTCTAATAACAACTAAAAATAAAAACGCGTTTGCCATCCCGCATGCCAAGCGTGGCAACTAAGGCAAATATCCCCCCTATGAGAAAACCTGTGGGGGAGTCCTATGTTTTCCAGTGGACTTTTAATAGGCTGTAACCACGGTAATGGCTTCCAAGATAACATTATACTAGCAAAATTATATATATATAAATATAATTTAATACCTCTTTGAATATTTTTAGCATGATAGACTTACTTTCAATGTTAAAAGGTGTGACCGGAATAATAAAGATGTCTGCTACAGAAATGCGATCCAAGTTATAAAAATTGCAAAGGCTGTGACTGTGACTTTTGGAGCAAATGCATTCCCTTTTTCTTAATGATTTAGGTAAATGAGATTTTCTTAACCTTATATATTTTTAGTTTTGCATGTTTCAATATAAGAAATTATTATTAATTTAAATAGTGGTAGAGCCACGCAGCAGCTTTTGCTGTCGCACGGATGGGTCGGCTCGAACCGGGGTGGTACCACGACCTCACAGAAAACCAGCGTGAAGTAGAGGTTTACCTCTGCGTTTCGCTTGGTGAGTGCAGGTGGCCGGAGGCCCTTTTTACTGGAAATAAGGCATTCCATCTTAGTCCTCACGGGTGACAACGCATCTACATTTTGATTTGTAATAGAGGATAGATGTAGATATCTATGGGCCGCAGCAACCACTTACCATCAGGTGGACTGTGTGCTCGTTTGTCACCCTTATCCTATAAAAAAAAATTATTATATCGACATTTTATAATTTCATTATGTCAATGTATTGTAATTATTATTATTTGAATTTGAATTAATGCGAACAATTCCTCAGAGCACTCCCCGTGGTAGATTTGATAGAAAATGCAAAGAGATGCGACATCCCTATGCAGCGCCAGTGTATCGAGCCGATCAGAAAGAATTCGGTCGCCGACGTTTCGTACCGCTCTGCGATGGATGGATGATGGATGATGATGGATCAAGTGGCACTGGGGTGCCCTAAAAAATTACTCAATTTCACTTATATTCGGAAGATCCATTTTTATATATGTTAGCCAGACAACTATTTTAAAAAGTTTTACAAGAAGGTAGACTGATCCAAGGGGTCATTTCAGACGAGGTGAAACAAAAATCCTAGCGTACATATGAAATATCGGAATCTAAAAAAAAAAAATTAATGAGTGGCACCGATACGGAATAAAGGCCCTTAACACCTAAATATCTTCAGAAATTTTCGTGTCGAAATTTTAATGTTTCCCTCTTTTGTTTGAGTCCATTATTCCGTTCGCGCTTTGCCATATGTATTTTCTGAGAATAATTTGGCTACCTAACTCTGTGATTTTCATTAAAAACCGTAAAAGCTGGAATACCTTGATACCTGTAAAAAAGGTAACTGGTGCTCATCACTCATCAAACAAAACAGAGTAGCATTCTGTTGCTATTTACGCTGGTATACTGTGAGAGCGTGGTCCTTCCTCGGTCGAGCCGAGTTATTCATGCTGTAGCAAATAACATTCAAAAGAGCATTTAAGTATCTAATTGCATTATAATTTTATCAGGCGTCTTTGGACTCCTGTAAATTACATTCATGTCATTACCATACCATTTCAAATGTCTGCTGCTGAACATAGGTCTCCCCCATAAATTGATATCATAGAGGGATCTTTGCCATAGCTGCCACGCTTGGCAGGCGGGTTGGCAACTGTATTTTAATTATAATGAAGTTGTTATCAGGAAAATGTTGCTGCCTATATCCAAACATTTTATGTATACATTTTATACATGGTAAAGCCACGCGGCAGCTATATTGTGGTTGTAGCACGAATGGGTCGACTCAACCGGGGAAGGACCACGCTCTCACAGAATACCAGCGTAAAATAGCTGCTCAATGCTGCTGTGCTACGTATCATCATCATCATTACAGCCTTTCATAAGTCCACTGCTGAACATAGGCTTCCCCCAAGGAATGCCACAAAGCACGGTCCTGAGCCACCTGCATCCATCGACTTCCTGCATGTCTTACCAGGTCGTCACTCCATCTCGTGGGGGGTCGCCCTACACTTCGCCTACCGGTACGAGGCTGCCACTCGAGAACCTTTCTTCCCCATCAGTTGTCGGTTCTTCGAGCTATATGGCCGGCCCACTGCCACTTCAGCTTACTAATCCGTTGGGCTATGTCGGTTACTCTGGTTCTACTGCTGATATCCTTATTTCTTATTTTATCACGCAGAAAAACCCCGAGCATAGCCCTCTCCATAGCTCGCTGAGCGACCTTGAGCTTCCTCATACGGCCAGCAGTGAAAGACCACGTCTCAGATCCGTAAGTCATCACTGGCAACACGTACTGGTAGTACAATTTCGTTTTAAGGTTATGAGGTATGTCTGACGAGAAGATGTGTCGTAGTTTCCCGAACGCTGCCCAGCCGAGTTGAATCCGTCGATTGACCTCTCGGTCGAAGTTGGACTTATCTAGTCGGCCTATTTGTCCCAGGTAAACATACTCGTCAACAACATCGAACTTAGTGTTCCCAACAACTACCGGCATAGGTGTGACATGGACATTTAACATGATCTTTGTTTTGTCCATGTTCATCTTAAGACCTATCCGATGGGAAACACTATTGAGGTCATTGAGCATAGTGCTTAGGTCCTCCAGCGATTCTGCCATAAGGACGATATCGTCGGCAAATCGAAGGTGAGTGCTGTACTCGCCATTGATGTTAATACCGTATCCTTTCCAGTCCAGAAGCTTGAAAACGTCTTCCATTTCAGCGGTGAAGAGTTTCGGGTATATAACGTCACCCTGTCTTACACCTCTCTGCAATTGGATAGGTTTCGTACTCTGGTTCTTTACTCGGATAGCCATTGTAGACCTACCTACTGTAAAAGCACTTCAGCACTTCGATATACCGACAGTCAACTTGGCACCGGTGATGGGACTCCACATACGCCAGACATAGTGGCAAATTGTACTCTTCGGACTTCTGTACAACATGCCGAAGGGTATGTATGTGGTCTATGGTGCTAAAGCCCTTTCGAAAACCGGCTTGTTCGGGAGGCTGGAATTCGTCAAGTCTGCGCGCGAGACGATTCGTAATGACTCTCGAAATCAGCACGTGGACGCGGCTCAGAAGGGAAATTGATCTGTAGTTCTTCAAGAGAGCGTTGTCACCTTTCTTGAAGAACAAGACCACCGCACTTCTGCTCCACGCCTCCGGTATAATACCACCATGGAGGACGGAATTAAAGAACCTTTGAAGGACTTCAAGTACCGGTATTTCACCCGCTTTCAGAAGCTCCGCTGTTATTCCATCCTCGCCTGGGGCCTTGCCGTTTTTAAGATGCTGGAGAGCCATTCTAATCTCGCTCAGACTGACGTCCTGGATATCTTCTGAATAGTGTCGGATAAGACTCGCTCTTGGACCGTTACTCACACTTGCGTGTGGCTCCAACGATGACGTGTACAGCTGTCCATAGAACTTCTCAATCTCACTCAAAATCTCAGGTGCCCCGGAAACGATGCTGCCACACTCGGTCCTCAGCTTTGACAGTTGGCTCTTTCTGGCAGACAGATCTCTGGCAAAGACTTTGGAGCCTTGGTTTCGCTCGATCGCTTCTTCAATACAAGCTGTATTGAAGTTGCGTAAGTCCCGCCGCATGCATTTGGAGATCTGTCTGTTCAGTTGCCTCTATGCTGTCAAATCTGTTAAAGAATGTAGCTTCATCTCCCGTCTAAGAGCCATGAGATTAAGAGTGTGATCGGAGAGTTTTTGTGTTCTTCTGCGGCGGTCTTGCAAAACTTAGCTCCGACCGCATGGAGAGTTTCCACGAGCTTGTCATTCATATCGTCCACTTCATTGCAGTCTTTTAGGCACTGAAAACGGTTTTGTAACTTGAGCTGAAAGGTTTCAGGACTTTGGAACAGAGCACGAGGGGGACGGAACGTTGACTTCATTAAACGAGACCTCTCCAATTTTACGTTTAGGTTCAGTGTGCCTCCACCGTTCTCTTTTGTGCCTAATTTTGCATTGAAGTCTCCCATTAA